AGCCTTGCGCCGGGCTGTCGCAGGGCAATGCGCTAATGCGCCTGCGGGGGTGGGGGTAGGCAGACTAACCGTCAGTACCCGAAACCGGAAGGCATTGGGAGGCCGCTTGATTGTCATGATACATGCTTGGTGTGCTTGGCATGATTGGCGTGGTGCTTGGCATGATTGGCACAGTAAGGTGGGGTGGGGTAGGGTTGGGCGAGGTTGCGGAGGATCGCGACAACGCAGAGAAACATTTCGGACTTCTGGGCGCCGCCCCAGCAGAGCGGGGTCGGCGGATAAGGACCCCCAAATAAGGCACCCTAATTTTCGGAAAGGTTTTCGGCATCTGGAGCTTCTTACTTTTGGTCTTTTAAGCCGTGAAAGCCTGACGGCGAGATTCCGGCAGTTGGATCCGAAATTGGGGGCAGGACAAACACTGTACAGGTTTAGGTCTAGGGTTTGGTCTTTCTCTTTCTCTTTACAGGTCAAGAATGCTCTGAGACTAGAGTCCCTGAGTGAGGTAGACATTCAAGCGTGAGAGCCCGTTCAAAACTTTGCTCGGCTTACGTGCCCTACCTGCGCCCGGTGGCCTGAACCCCCGCCGAAGAAAAAGCCACACCACCCTAGTCCCCCTAAACCCTAGAACCTAAAACCTCAACCCTAAAGCGTGAAGCATAAACCTAAAAATCCCAAAGCTTTTGGATGGAATTCATTCTGTGGATTCATGATGTCAGGGCTCCCTTCCTCGGCTCCGAGGGGTTTGGGTTTGTAGGTTTAGGGTTCAGAAACTCTAAGGACGCTTGTGGGGTTACCCGAAACCCTTAGGGTTTAGGGTTTAGGGTTTAGGGTTTAGGAAACTTCAGTAAACGCTACACTCTCAGCCCTAATCCTGGGTTTCGGCAGCAGGGTTTCTTCTAGCTTGCGCGCTGCACAGGCCTCGTCTGATGCGAGGGGCACGAGGTGACGGCCGGTTCGCGGGATGTTGCCAAGAAAGGTAATATTAGGGGTTAGGGTTTAGGATCAGAGTGTAAGGTGAAGGATTACTGCTTGTGTTTGTTATTCATAGAGCAGTAACAGTACGGCAACACAACAGTGAAGTGTAGTGTATTATTCACAATTCTAGCATAGTGCCGGCGGGCATCGACCCACATCAAAGGTTCCTGTAGGGTTTAGGGTTTAGGGTTTAGGGTTTGCAGAGGTCCGTCCGTTTAAGGACGCTCCGTTGGGTTGCAACGGGGAAGAGCAGCCATTGACGGATCTGCTGGGCGAGGACCGGAACTTGCTTCAGTAGTGGTAGAAACATGTGTCTACACATGTGTACATAGGTATGTTTGTATGTTTGTATGTGTACATGTATGCATGTATGCATGTATAAGCGTCTCGGCTCCATGCTGTGGAGTGAGCGGGTTTTTCGGTTCTTCTGGGCGGCTCTTCGGGGTGCCGTGGTTCTTGCGAATTTGTTTGGAGACGTCGGTGTTCTGTGGGGTGGCTGGCTCGGCTTTTTCTTCTGCTCTTCATGTGTGTGCCATGGATGTATTCGTGGAGGCGGTGCATGGCAATAACAAAGCCCCCAAGTACGATTCACGTGTATATCATGCTGATGGCTTGCATATTGCAGTGGAAAACCACACCCTTGGCTGCCTCACCAAGCAGTGGTGGCCTCTTGGAATCAGGGAGGTTCGCCGAAGACAGCGCACCCTGGCCGACCGATGGAGGACCTCGGGAGCCCTCGGCATCTGGTGTGAGGGGTGGTTTTTATTGGCAGACTCGTGGAGGTTGGAGTTGCTGGAGAGAGTTATGGTGGTCGATATGGAGTTCGGGCTTTCTGCTTTTCGGGCTGTCTGCTTGTGGATGTGTCCAGCCTTGGAGGCTATGGACTAAAGGCGCGGGCATGAGACGCGCCCTGCACGGGGCCTGGAAGATGCATCGGCATGCACGTGGACCACACCAGACGTCCACGGCTTTTCTCCTCGGCCTTCCGCTTACCCTCATGTTTGCTCTTGTGGCTGCAAGCGCCGCTATTTGTGGCGGTGGTGTGTACCTGATGTGGCTGCTACCCTTTCGACCTGCACCTCTCACGGTGACCTCATGGCACCGGTATCGAATGCCATCGCCTCTCCCTACCAGGCGGGTGACGGCGTCCGTCATACACTATGACCTTCTCCATGTGTTGCGCTTCGTGATCTTGCTCAGGCCCCTCCGCTCCCTGGTCCTCATGCCGGTGAAGAAGGCCGCTGTGCAGAGCAGTCGCAACCGCAGGCCACCAGCCACCCGTCTGCAGGTGCTGCAACAGCGCGGGTCTTGTCTGCGCGTGGCTTTGGCCATCGCCGACACAGGTCGGCTCATGCTCTTCCGGACGGTCTGCTTCGCAATAACATGCTCTGCAAGGACTACACTACACCGTTCCGCATCCGCTCCACATGCGTGCAGCTGCCCGGGTCCCAATTCCCGGGGTCACAGCAGCTTTAGGCCGCCCGCAACGGTTTGGCTTATCTTCTTGTTCATGTGCGTAATGATTCAGCAGACAACAGCTGTGACTGACGTGAGGGTTGGATCTCCCACACATCACGGAGATCCGAGAGCCCCATCTTCGGGCACATTGGTTTCTCACGTGGCGAAGCGTGGTGTCATTCGCCAGGCCGATTGCCCTGGTGATACTCTTCCCAAGTACTCTCCCAGAAAACGAGCACTTTCCAGAGCTATATCCCGAGCCACTGTGAGCCCTGACGGTTCGACCTTGTACAGGGGGCGTCGCATGCTTCTACGAGATCTTATGCAAGGCCGGGACTTAGTCTCTCCAGAGGTTCATCAGCCCACCTCGCAGACAATGTGCCTGAGCAACAGGCCAGGACGACGTCTCCGATTGGTGACTTGGAACTGTGGAGGCCTTGCCTCCACCACCTACATGGAAGTGATGGAATGGATGAAGCAGGAGGAGCGTCTTGGTCGCCCTGTGGACATCCTCTGCCTGCAGGAGACCTCGTGGCGCGAAGACAATGAGTATGTCACTGGAGGCGACAGCCCAGCCACGCGTTGGTTTGCTGTGCACAGCGGCAGCAAAGAGAAGGCAGGCATCCTGGTTCTCATTCGGGCCAATCTTGTACCGGCGGATCTGATCAGACATACCGTGCTCGTTGCAGGTCGCCTGCTTCATATACGGCTGTTGCTCCAGGTGCCCTTAGACATTCTCTGTGTATACCAGTTCTCATGGAATCCCTCGAAGGGCTCACTTGATCATGGTCGCAAGGTTTCTCAACTCCTGCAACAACGAGCCACGGTGTGGCGGGCTATGTCCAAGTGGATCTCTCGGGTTCCTCTCCGTAATGGGTGTCTCCTATTAGGGGACTTCAATACTCCCATTGTGCCAGAGCATCCGTTCTGCGGCCCAGGTGTTGTCCCTAGAGAGGAGATCCAGCAGCAGGACCAGGCGGAGCTTCAACAGCTACTCCGACAGGCTGACGGTCGTGTGCTCAATTCATGGTCGCATAAAGGTCATCGTGCCAGAACATATCTCCCACCGACAGCGGGGATATCCACTCAGGGGACTCAGATTGACTACATCATTGTCAGAGACAACCTTGGCGACCCAGAGGCCAGAAGAGCTGGCACCTTTTCGGCGCCTTTTGTCCCAACGTCGGGGTGCAGGCATCTCCCAGTGGGCTGTACCATCCCTGTTCCCTCACCTCCTCATCAACGACGGCAAGGTCTAGTCAAATACCTTCCTGCTGCAGCCCAGAAGATTCTTTCCGATCCGGAGGCTGTTCAAGCACTCTGGTCGAGAACTGAGGGCCTGGATAACCCCGAGGCCGGTTACTGTGACCTGGATGGCATTCTGCGCACAGCGTGGGAACAGGTGGAGGCAACTACTCGCCGGCCACAGCCCGAGGTGGGGAGCCAAGCATCCCATGCGTCTGATGCTGGCACAGGCCAACTTGTACGTCAGCTTTGGCTGCTTCGGGCCTTCCTTCGCGATCAAGCTAGGCAAGTACATGCAGCAAGGACGGACACCCCTCTTGTGGCTATGTGGCAGGGATGGCGACATGCCGCCCGTCTTCAGGCCACCGCCCGAGAACTTCGTCGACGAGGTCGGGCCAAGCGGATCAACATGGTTGAGCGCTTGGTTAATGATAACAATGTCTTCCAGGCGGCCAGAAAGATCGCGCCTAAGACCCAGCGTCGCAGGCTGCAGCTTCGCACGTCGGAGGGTGCACTACAAACCCACGAAGAGGAGCATCAGGACATCCTCGACTACTTCCGAGACCTGTACTCAGGCCCTGAGCCACCTGCAGAGCACCTCCAGCACTCCCTCACCATTGCACCTGTGGAGGTGGCCATGGCCCTTGGACACCTGGCTCCGGGGAAAGCCATGCCTTCCGCCTCGGCCCCGGCTGTGGTGTGGAAGACTTTACGTGATCGGTTGTCCCCTCTCATTGCGCACCAGCTCACCAACGTTCTTCAACCTGGCCTGCTCCAACTGCCGAAAACTTGGTGTGTGAGCGAGTTGGTCCTTTTACCCAAGCCTGGTAAATCGATGACGACTGTCAGCCACCTTAGGCCGATCAGCCTACTTCCACCGGTTGCCAAAATCCTCGCGGCTACGCTGGCCCATCGTCTCCGACCCACTGCCGCTGTCTACCTTGCGGGGATCCCACAGTTTGCCTATATACAACTCCGGGGATTGCCCCAAGCCCTTGAGAGAGTGATCAGTCACTGTGCCCAGGTCCGATCCCTGTTGGCCTCACAGCACAATTCGCTCTTCGCCCGCAAGGGTATGGGGCCCCGCAGGCCGATCCTAGGTGGTATGATGTTATCCTTGGACATTTCCCATGCGTATGATGTCGTGGACCGAGAAGACCTCAGGCTGGCACTGGCGGACGCCAACGTACCACCGGAGTTGGTGAGTGTGATATTGACTATACACCACCAGGCAGAGATGCGGATCACTCATTGTGGCTGTTCGGGGGAGGTTCGCCTGCTACGAGGACTGCGACAGGGCTGTGGCCTCTCGCCCATCTTATGGGCGGTCTTCTCAGGATGGTTGCTAAAGCAACTCAATGCTATCCCGGACATGCAGCAGTCTCTTGTGAGGTCCAACACCACGTACGCGGACGATTTCCTCTTCAAATGGGTCATCGACAGTGGCCGCGCCCTTGAAGATGCCTACAGACAAGCGAGGGTGGTGTTGGGGTTTCTTCGACAAAGAGGCCTCCAAATCAGTTGGGCAAGACGGTGATCATTGTGGAAGTCAAGGGTCCCCAAGCTCAGAAGGCCCTCAACAAATACCTTGTGTCTCTCAAGGATGGGGTCTATATGAGGTTTATGGTTGATGGCCAGAAAGTGGACTTGAAGGTGGTGCAGAGTCATGTGTACCTTGGAGCGATCATAGGGTACCGAAAGTTCGAGCAGGATACCGTCAAGCACAGAATCCAGCTAGCCAAAGGTCAATATGCTCGTCTGAAGCCCATCATCAGATGCCAGGCTGTACCCACCCGACTCAGACTTCAACTATGGAGGGCCTGCGTTCCGGCCTGCCTGCTTCATGGACTGGACTGTACAGGTCTACCCCCGGCGGAGGCGAAGCAAGTGTTGACCCTCCTCCTCGTGCAGGCTCGATCCGTTACCAGATCATACAGCTGGCTCACTAGGGAGTCGAATGTGGAGTTCATGAAAAGGCAGGGCATCAAACACCCGGCGGAGCTCCTGATTCAGGCCCTGTCTCGAAGAGATAGCCAAGATGCTGGTCAGATGGACAAGCTTCGACCGACTGAGGCCCAGCTCCAATGGCGGCAGATGCTGAAGGGGCAGTTTGAGGAAATGCGGCAACAGCAGCTAGCCCCCTCCCAACAGCACCCACACACCACTCGTACCATGCTCGTCCCAGTTGACAAGATCATACATGAGGTCTTTGAGTGTGCGGAGTGTGGCCTTTCCTTTGGCACTGCTGCGGCGCTGAAGCGACATCACTTCTTGACTCACTTGTCGGCTGAGCAAAAACAAGAACGACAACATGAAGTCAAAGTTGCTGCTCAGCGAGCCAATATGGAACATGCCAAGGAGGGCATGCCCTGGTGTAAGCACTGTGACAAGAAATTCAACAATTGGCCCAATTTCTACTACCATATCAATTCTCACAGTTGCGAAGTGCTTCGTGCCATTTATCATCAGGAACAACCAGGACATGTACTCCATATGTTGTCGGAGGCCCTTGTAGCCCAGCCTGAGATCCTTTCGTTTGCCAGGGATTGCACTTGGCTTGACCTAGCTGCACACCATGCTGTCAGAGCGAGACTACATCATTGCCCCGAGTGCTATCACTGGAACCTTCGCCCGCAATATGTGAAGAGACACATGCTGGCCAAACACTCTGACCTTCGCCACATCATACGGAGATGCGAAGCTGTTGTGATGGAGAGCAACCTTAGCCTTGTCAGTCCATGTCGATACTGTGGAGAAGAGTTCAAACGAAGGGATGCGCATCTCCGCTCTTGTGTTGCATTGTTCACAGGTGCCTTCCTCTACTCGCGAGTAGCCCGGGGACCCGTGCTCACACCAGGCACTCCCGGCGACAATCATGGCTCCTGGAGGGATGACGGAGAAGGAGGACGCAGAGAGCCAGCGTCAGACCCTGGACGAGGCGACGGCGGAACTCCAGCTGATGCAGGCGCTGGCCCCATGGGGGCACTGAGCCTCCCGTCGACCATACAGGTAGCCACGCCCCTGAAGCAGCGCGGGCTCTCGATAGAGCAGGACCCGGCGATGGACGTGGACGGCGAGGAGGAGCTGGTCGAGGAGGCCTGGGACGCGGACAGGCCGGCGAAGTTCCAGAGACCGGGAAACAAGGGACAGCCCAGCGGCGGCGGACGAGGCAAGGGCGGCAAGGGGCAACAGATGAGGGGCCAGGGCCAGGACAAGACCTACGGTCAATCTGGAGCCTACAGAGCACGCGGCTCAGGACAGGACCAGGGTCAGGATCACGGGGGGCCGAATCTACAGAAGGAGCTCCAACGGCTCAGGACCCAGGTCAGCCTCCTCACCTCGTTGATACTCCGTCACGACAACCAAGTCAACTTGATGCGACTCGACACTGCCTACGTTTTCTTCTTGAGAACGGACACCCCAGGCAGCTTGGCGACGGCATTGTATCAAACAGGGTTGACGTGGAAGTCGACCAAGGAGAAGGACCAGGACAAGCTGGAGGCCCCCATGAGGGTGATCCTCATGCAGGGGCTGCTGTCGTCGACTTTATCGAGGTTCGAACAAATGATCAAGGATCCGGCGAAGAAGGCGGCTGCTGTTCAGGTGGGCTGGCTTACGGCCGACGGGACAAGGGTGCCGGGTATGAAGTGGGACCAGACGACGAAGAAGCACATCATCGACGACACGATCAAGTCGCTCGAGGTGCAGACGGTGATGGACACCCTGACGGAGCTGATCATCCTATGCAAGGTCCCGCTGGTTGTGAACCGATTCCACGCCACGCGCCCGATGGCGGCGGAGTACGAATCGCCGGTGCTACCGATGATGCTCGATGTGGGGTTCCGAGTGGCCTCTGCGGACAAGGCCTGGACTCTCCTGGACTCGCTGGCTCGCTCAGCAGTGTGGATCTGTGCGGGAGCTCACATGCGCCACGATCGTCTGCAACGGGGTCCACTGGCTCAGCGGCTGGCTCTCTTCACGGACCAGCAGAACCAATGGTGGCGCAGGTCCTAAGAGTGAGGCTGGGGAATAAAAGCAACCATTGCTACTGCAATGCGTTGCTGAAATGCCTTTGGGTAGCAGCTGCAAGATCCCAGTGCCCCCTCGAAGTTCTTATGCAACAGCAGCTGTTTCGTTTGGTGTCGAGTTTTATCAAGGCCACTGGCATCTTGTATGTATGGGGGAACCCCTTCTGGAGAACTCTTCTCAGGGGTTGGAGGGCTCCAGATTCTCAGCACGATGCTGCTGAGTTCCTACAGTTTCTTGCCCAACGGCACCCGGGACTAGTGGACATTGCCGGGGCTTCATGGGCTGCGAGGCTTGCGGTGCCAGAGCAGATGATTCAAGGTGACGGCGGATGTTCATGCCCTTTAAGCTTGCTGCCGCCTGATCGTAATGATGTCTCTATTCATCAGCTTGTGCAGAACTGGCATCTTCAAGAGTCTGCTCATGCACTGCTAGATGCTCCACCCTGCGTAGTGTTTCAAGCGGGAAGGTTCAGCTATGATGCTTCGACGCATCGGTCGCACAAACTGAAGTATCGCATTACTCCTGACCGCTATCTTGAGATTCCTGTTTTCACTCAGGGCGTGCAAGTGCGACCGGTCCAGTACAAGCTGGACTCCTTTATCTTTCATGTGGGTGAATCTCTGGATCATGGCCATTACATGGCCATAGTGCTCGATGACAACACTGAGTATCTTCTTGATGATAATGTTGCTGCGAGGGTTTGTAGCGCTCAGGAGTTTGAGCATGGTTGTCTCAACTCATATCTCTTCTTTTACCATCGAGCCTAACCCTCTCGACTCGCTTTTCTAAGGGTGTTCGCACCGGGGGCTTTGGAGAGTTTTCTTGGGGATGTGACTACAGGTCACAGCGTTGCCGGGGCACAAACGTGCCTTGTCCCATCTTCGTTCGCAGAGCGCAGAGACTTTGCAACGCGGAAGTGAAGTATGCATGTATGCATGTATGCATGTGTGCATGTATGCATGTATGCATGTGTGTATGTATGCATCTATGCATGTATGCACGTATGTATGCATGCGTGCATGTATGCATGTATGGATGTATGCATGTATGTACGTATGTAAGGTAATGTAATGTAATGTAATGTAATGTAATGTAGTGTAATGTAATGTAATGTAATGTAATGTAATGTAATGTAAGGCAATGTAATGTAACATGAATGTCAATTTACATGTAAATGCCAATGCAAATGGCATTGCCAATGTACATGTCATCGTAGATGTAGATGTAATTGTAATTGTTAATGTAATGTAATGTAATGTAATGTAATGTAATGTAATGTAATGTAATGTAATGTAATGTATTGTAATGTAATGTAATGTAATGTAATGTAATGTAATGTAATGTAATGTAATGTAAGGTTCTATAGAGGTCTCA